ATGTGAGAGAAAAGGGGGTTACGGAAAATGTGGTTTGGAGTGCGAGGATGAATATAAGGGAGATGTTGATGGGAGAAAAGATTAGGGGGCAGTGGGATGATGAGGTGGGAAAATAGATGAATGAATCGAGGGATGTAGTGTGGAGAGATTAGAATAGTTATATATGAATACCTAGGTATAGATTGGTCGAATGAATGTTCTACTACTCGTCTTTGTTTCTAAGCATTGATGAAAAAGATGGGCGTTTATTCGTACATATGTCATGAGTGGATATGAGGGTGAACTTGATATATAGATGAACCCGAATATTACGACATACACTTCAAATGTAACATATACGTAGCATATATAAACTAAACAATAAAAACCTCCTCATATTTCCCTAAAAATCATATCTGCATCTACCTACCTAGTACATACTGCATCAGAACACCCACCTACATTCTCATTCTCACTCTCACTCACCAAAAACACCAAAAACACTTTCTTGAAATCGATCAGCAATCTTCCAGATCAGATCAGACCAGACCAGACCAGACGACGAGTAAGTTAATAAATAATGTATTTATTCATTGGTTTTATTTTATTTTATTTTATTTTGTTCTTGTGGTTGGTGGTTTGTGGTTATCTTTGTTTGTTTTTTGAGGCTATTAGGGGGGTAGTAGGAGGGTAGTAGGGGGGTATTAGGGGGGTATTAGGTAGGTGTTAGGTAGATAGGTATTTTATTCTTTGATTACTTAGTATATTGTTTCATCGTGTTTTGGTGTCTTGGGGTTTGGTATCTTGGGGTTTGGTATCTTGGGGTTTGGTATCTTGGGGTTTGGTATCTTGGGGTTTGTTATCTTGGGGTTTGTTATCTTGGGGTTTGCTTTGTTTTTGAGTTTTTGATTGGGGGTTTCTTGTTTTGGGGAGGGGGGGGAGATGGGGCAGAGGGGGATTGTTGGGATTAGGAGGGGGAGATGGGTTGGTTGATATAGGGGAGGGATGGGGAGATGGGGAGATGGGGGAGATGGGGGAGATGGGGGAGATGGGGGAGATGGGGGAGATGGGGAGATGGGGGAGATGGGGGAGATGGGGAGATGGGGGAGATGGGGGAGATGGGGGAGATGGGGATGTTTATTTGTATGTATATGGAGAATAGAGAATGGAGGATAGGAGGATAGGAGGATAGGAGGATAGGAGGATGGGAGGATGGGAGGATAGGAGGATAGGAGGATAGGAGGATAGGAGGATAGGAGGATAGGAGGATAGGAGGAAAGGGAGGGAGGTAGTTGTTTATATCAAAAGGTGGTAGTAGAAGGTGGTGGTAAAAGGTGGTGGTTAGAATGTGATGGTAGAATGTGGTAGTAGAAGGTGATGGGAAATAGTAATATAGTGAGTGAGAGTGGGTGGTGTTTAATCGTAAAGTGGAAAGTGGAGGAGAGTTTTGATTTGGGGAATGTTTTGGAGGTTTGGAAGGGTAGGGAGGTGGGAAGAGGTGGGAAGAGAAGGAAGGAGGAGAAAGAGGTGGAAGGAGGAGGTGAGAGAAGGAGGTGAGAGAAGAAAAAGTGTGTGTAGGATTTAGGATGAAAAGGGTTTGAGGAGTCGATGCTGAGGATGAGGGTGGTCTTTTTGTGGAGTTGGGGATGGGAGTTTTGGGTTTGGATGGGAATAAGTTTGTGTGATTTTGAGGTTTAGTTTGGTTTGGCTTGCTGGTTCTTTTTGATTGAAGTTGGAGAGTTATATGATTTATCAATCCATTGACCCATCTCTATATCCTCCATTTGTCATTACATCCTAGATCTTGCGGGAAAGTGATTATGTAGAAGTATTTGTGGAAGGGGTTGTATGGTATATGGCTAGATACTACCTACCTACCTAGGTCAGATGATATTGTGTTAGTATCAGAAAATAGACACTTGATATTGGGAAGGGGAAGGGGATGGGAGTGTTCGCTCTTTCCTTAGCGAATGAAGGGGGAAGGAAAAGAAAGGAAGAGAAGAGAAGAGAAAGAATGATTTCTGTTTCCTGATTTGATAAGGCAGGCGCTAAAAGAAAGTATGTAGTGCGTCACGTAGATATTACTACATGTGATTCTAAGTTTCTATGATCGTACGATTTGATTTACACGTTTGTCGCACTGGGAAGGAAGGATATGAGTGTTTGGTTCTTTCTTTGTATTGAAGTTGTTTTTCTGGATAGATTGGATGTTTGTTATGATCCTATTGTTTCAAAGGTGGTGAGTGTACGAGATGGTGTAAATGTTTTTGATGATTTGAATGTTTTAATTGAATTGAGTATATTGGGGGGTTTGAATGTGTAGAATGATTTGAGGGGATGGAATGATTTTGATGTATAGGGCTTTTTGGATATTTGAAAGAGGTTGGATGAATGAATGTATTAGGGAGTTTGAATATATCAAATGAGTTGAATGTATGAGACAGTTTGAGTGTAGGAAATGATTTGAATATATAAGACGATTTGAATGTAAGACTTATATTATAATTTGAGTATATGGGATTGTTTGGACATTTGAAATTGTTTAAATATATAGTTGTCAAAATGTATTAAACAAGTTGGATATATTATATAGTTTGAATGTATGAAGTAATTTGAATACATCAAGTCATTTGAATATGCGAAATGATTTTAATGATTAAAGTACTTTGGATATATAAGATACTTTGAGTTCATGAGATGATTTGAGGTTATAAGATGATCTAAAATATTGGAATGATATGAATCTATAAGATAATTTGAATATACGAAAGAGATTAGACACATAAAGTAATTTGGACTTATGAAATGTTTTTGATATTTGAAGTGGTCTGAATTTATGAACTAAACTGAATGTATCAAGTCATCTAAATGTACGAAATGATTTCAATCAATCCCAACACGAGAGTCCCGTAGCACCAGGTTTTACTCTTAACATCCCAGCATTCAGAAATCCAAAAAACCACTTGAAGAAAGGTCCCGTTGACCAGGTTTACTCTTAACATCCCAGCATTCAGAAATCCAAAAAACCACTTGAAGAAAGGTCCCGTTGACCAGGTTTTACTCTTAACATCGCAGCATTCAGAAATCCAAAAAACCACTTGAAGAAAGGTCCCATTGACCAGGAATGCCAAATCTGCGCTCATCAATCCGTCCACCGTAGGTGTCGAGTGATGGACAAACAGGACTACATTGAGTCCAACCAAACAAACCGCTATGTTGAATTGCACAACAGACACTCAATCCTACCCAGCACTCTTCGGTGCAAAGCCGAAAACAAGAGTGACGCCTAGAGGGACGAGAACGGCGATAGCGATTGATATCGCTATGTGCATTGTTGTTGTTGTTGCTGTTGTTGGTCTTGATGCTGGTGGTTCTGGTGATTCTCGCTAAGCATAAATGCAAAAGGGGAAGGAACAATGATCATGGTTGCTACCCATAAATGAGTATAGTTATTTGAATGCAGAAGGAGCAATGAACATGGAAAAATTAGGTTGTTGCTGGATAATATGCTGCTTCGACTTCACTCGAGAATCACCAGAACCAGATCCAGAACCAGAACCAGATCCAGCACCAGCAACAGCAACAACAGCAACAACAGCAACAACAGCAACAACAGCAGAAACAGCAGCAGCAGCAACAAATGGATCCCAATTCTCGTCGTGGCGTTGAAGCCATTTTCGTAATGCTTGCCGTTCTTCTCCCCCCCTTTTTTTTTGGTAATCAATGGGAGAGATTTTACGTTATTCAATTGATTATTGCTGTATTTTTATTTGTTGTTAATATTGTTTTGTTTGTCGAGTTCCAGGCACCAGCTTTGTGCAATGGCACATTGTCTGGAGACTTGGTTCTCCTGCTGTATGGGGGCTTTGCCCAATTAACATTCTGGTACTGCGAGATTATGGAGAAAGAAGACGGCCCGATCTCCGACACCTCCCGCTGCGCTTTTATCATATCGTTAGGTATGAACATCACGGTGCTTGCCCAATCCATCGTGAGTATTTGCTTTGGGGGATGGGATAATGGGAAGATTTTTGCTCTTTCTTCGAGCATTTTCTCGTTGGTGGTTCCTACTGCCTGTTCTTTATACGAATGGAGGAAGGATATTGCCTCCCCCTCGATTTGGAGGCGCTGGTCTAAGACCACAGATAAGGAAAAGGATGGAAAGAGGGTGAATTGAGCGGAGCGGAGCGGGGGGGAGGGAGGAGGAGGAGGAGGAGGAGGAGGAAATAACTGCGACGACGACGAAATATTGTTAATACGCTCGTCGCCTGGAAGGTTTCTAACCAGTCCCTCAGTATTAGTAGGGTTTCTTCCGAACTACTTTGGGTGTCTGGGGTGGACCAACCGGGCACGAGTAGCCCAAGAAGAGTTTGGCCTTCGCGTGGCCTTGGGCGTCAGTATTCGAGGACGGAAAAATCCAAATCCAAATCCAAATCGACCTCGAAGAAGCTAATAAACTCAACAAACCAACAAATCAACTACAACACATCAAATATCGTATTATCGTATCGCAATCATCATCACCATCATCGTCGAATCGCAAGGAAGGGAACACATATGTGTGTGCACTGTCTTGACTGGAAGTCAAGGAAGAATCTCGTGTTATTCTTACATCAAAACTGCTCAATGTCGTGAAACCCATTCGGACATTCGGGAAATTCGAAACTTTGAAAACTTTACAAACTTTCAAACTCGATTCACAGGCCGGCAGAACTGCATCAGACTTGGTCTCAGCACGTTCAAATCAGAGCAAGACTAGGGACATACAAGGAGGGATGAGGAGCATAAGTTTGCATGGAAAATTGTACAGATACAATGGGTGTGAATTATCGGAGGCCCATCGGAGCACAATTAGGGTTGTGGGGAGACTAGACGTTGCACTAAACCTAGCTCCTCGGGTAAATTGGCGATCAAGTATAAAGGACAACTCTCCCACACACCGAGGAAAGCACACGACATACCTTTTCTTTTTGCTTGACAAAACCCCTACTCTTTCTTAAGTTCGCATCACGATCGCACACATGAAGTTTCCTACAATCGAACCTGAGGACAAATTTCCTCGTGTCCCAAACGCTCTTGCATTCATTATCTACCGATTCCTGCCCATTTTCTGTCTTACCACATTCGCATGCTGGTTCTTTCAGAGAAACAGTTTCTTTGTCAGTGAATGGGATACTTACTGGGTGCACGTCGCGATGTTAACTGCGACCTTTAGCGCCATTGGTGCTCGCAATAATGATAGGAAGGGAGTAAAAAGTTGTCACGATTCTATCTTATCCAAAGACTTCTCTCCGTCTGAAAAGCTTTCTCAGGTTCGACTGCTTCTCGAATCTTATGATGAGAGTAGAAGTCCCAACTTTCCTTTCGGATTTCGTAGAAAGTCATGGACAGCGGAACGGAGAAAGAGGGAAATTCAGCTCCAAAAAGAACGCTTCGCATATATTCTATCTGGTTCACGACAAGGAATTCCGAATTTAACATCTGTTCAAGAACACATCTATTTGTGCTCAATGTGGTGGGTGACATCTGGCCTCATTGTTCGTGTTTTCCGCCCTGAAATTAGAAGCTGGGACCATTTCCTCGGGTACTGGACGTTTGGAAAGATTCACCATATTCTATATTTCATCTGCATCGTATTTCTGCTTAGTCGCTTCGGTTTACAACATGGTGTATGGACTAGCTGGAATGTAGCAACGTTGGGCCCCACTGCCGAATGTGTCCGTTACTACTGCGGAAGTATTGATTACGAAAGGGCCACCGAGAGCAAGCGTAAGGAGTTGGAATGGTGGATTGAAGGGTTATTAAGGGACAACAGCGATTCATTTGCGCTGGCAGAAGAAAGAAGACGAATCATTATTGCTCCTCTACAAAGGATGATTTGCGAGAAAAAGTTTTGCGAGGGACTTACAATGGCCGGTAGAGTAAGAGGTTGTGAAAGGCGTGCAATCTGTAGCGATTGTGAATCTGCACACTGTTGTCTATCAAAGAGTGTCAAACTGCAATAGTCTTTCTCTATCAACAATGATAAGAGCCTCCAACCTATTCCTTTCATTTCGACAATGAAGCCACTTGATACGACCAATACTTCCGAGCCATTTACGTTGAAACCGAGATATATCAGTATCCCTAGCGTTTGGAAACCGGGAGAAAATCGAAAAGTCTTCTTTACAGTCTCGCTAGTATTGTTCTTCGGTTCTCATTGTCTCATTTTATTGTTGTATGGAATTACACTTTGGATCAGCCACAGTTCTCAGCTTGATAAACCGTCCACTCTGCAGCTACTTCGGGTTCTACTTGTATTACTATCCGCAACCACCACACTCTACCTCCCACAGGAAAGCAACGAAGGCACCTTTTGAATCTTACGAAGAGACGAAACGAAAAAGGAGTTATGGTGCAAGAGAAATTTTGAATGTGCGGCTTCTCTAAACGTATTCGCCAAGGGATGGATCTACACGATTTATGCACACAATCAGAGGGATGGATTGAATTGGAAAGCCGCCGCTTCTGGTGTGCTTTGTGGGATCTTGTTATTTAGGAATAACGATGCTTTGTATGGGATATGATGATAATGGAAGATAATAATGGAGGATAATAATGGAGGATAATAATGGAAGATAATCATGGAGGATAATGATGGAAGAAGATAATGGAAGATGATAATGGAAGATGATAATGGAAGATGATAATGGAAGATAATAATGGAAGATAATATAAAGCAATGGAAAAGTTGAAAGGCATTCTACACTTTTCAGATGAGTGTTTGTTTGTGCTGACCCCACTCGGAATACCACATAGACCTGATCATAAGGCATTGCACAGGAAGCACATCCAAGAGCAAAGTGCACAGTGAGCGAGAAGTGAAGGTCTTTTTAATTTTCTATATAATCTCCACTTAATGAATAAATCCAATCCAAACCTTACGACAACAAAACCCTGATTTCCCCTCCAGTTCTTGGATACAACATTCTCAAAGGTTCTCTCTCCCCGTCCTCTTCATCCAAACTCTCCTCCAATTCTTCATCAGCCTTAATCAGGCGCTCTTCCACCTTCTCAAAATCATCGCAGAATCTCTCAGCTGCCTCTTCGGTAATTTGACGCACCAAGATACTATTTTGTAGATCTTTGAGATTTTCCATTGCATCCATCAATGCTGAAGGGAGGAAATCATCCAAGGTTTGGGAGGCTTGTATTAAAGATGCAGGTTGAAATACTGGGTGGTCTCGAATTTTCTTTGTGGAAGATATGGCTTGTGACAGAGGCTGAAGAGCAGATTTTTCAAGGAAAAACGTGTATTGGTGATCTATGAGAGTGGCAGCGTGTTCTTCGATTGTATCCTTGATTTCTGAAACGCGGGAGATAGTGAAGTCGAAGGGAGCCAAAGTTGCTCGGGCGGATAGGAGACAATTGATTGTGAAGACTGTGCTCCTGGGAGCTGGGAGATCCTTTGCAATATTTTCGCCGCCTTGCATGAAAGGGTCAAAAGCTTCAGCGAGAATGGGCTCAAAATCCGCTTCTCGAGTCTCGGGAGATGTGAAAGATGTTTCGTATGTTTTCATGATTGCTGTCAGCTGTTTTAGACCTTCGTGGAGGAAATCAGGTGGACTGAGGTTGGGAGGAGCGACTTGGATTTCGGATTGTAGACTGGTAATATGATCGCGCATCAAAGCTCGGAATTGGCGTAATGCAGATTCTTCGAGTGTTGCAAGAGACTCTAGGAGAACGGAATCATCCCCCAATAATCTTTTGAATGTACCGCGGTAGAAATTCAACAAATTGGCTATCTTGTATGCCATAATGGTCTCTTCGTGACTTTGTATTACTTGTCCAATTCTTTGACGAAGAACTCGGGCAACACCGGTGACATCCCGATCGACTAATTCATTGAGAGCTTTCAAACCATCAAAATGACCAATCTCGTTCTCATTTTCGGATATGCGGTTCCAAGGCTCGCTATCTAAACCAGCTTGTATTCCTTTTGCAATCTCATCGCCATCTGAGATAAATAGAACTTCAAGTGCCTCTCGTTCGCCTACCGTTGCCGAGTGAGTCCAAGCCAGCATATCACCAACGTAACGCAGCGGATCATGAGCCACTAGTTCGATTGGCTTTATTGAAGGATCTTCTTCACCGCCAACGGTGGTCCCAGTCAGTGCAGTATAAAATCCATCAGAAAGTATATTTTCTCGTGCTTCAGCAAAGAAGTCGAGGCAACTTTGGAATAATGACGGTCGTTCTGCTAATACGCGAAGAGCGCGACGAATCGAAGAACTGATTTGTGGATTCTCCAGATTGAGAGTCTTAAACTCTCTTTGAATCCATCGATAAAGTTTCTGGAAAGCACCATTGAGATTCTTTGTAGTTTGTTCCATAATCTCCAACCCTAACCGTTGGTTCTCCGTTCCAAGTAAAATCTCACAATCATTTTGGATCTTCTTTGCTCTGTTCAGAATGGAGAAGAACTTATCATTTACAGGCTCAGCCGTTGAAGTGAGTAATGCAATATCATCTTCTGACATAATAAAATGTGCATTGAAAGCATTCAATAATTCTTGCTTTGCTTGCATTTGTTCCTTTTGCTTCATGAGCTCTGAAGCTTCCTGTATGACGGGAGCTGTTTCTTGATGAGCGGCTGAAATGTGTCGTTTCATTTCCTCACATCCTTGATTGAGAGTAGCAATGGTAAGACCAATGCGTTTAAGTTGCTAAAGTTTGAGATGAGATGGGATTTTCAACAACAGAGGGGAGATGCCTCATACCTCAGCTACATGACCAAATTCACGAATTATATCGCCATTACTTTCAATGACCTCCTTTTGAACATCTAATCTCAACTGCCGTCTAGTTTCGGCAGTGTTCTGTATACCTCGTTTGTCTAACAAGGACAGAGCATCTCTAATATCTGAATCGGCATAAGATGCTGAAAGGACACTCGTGACTTTTGAAGATAATGGATTGGTTCTTGATGTTGAAGGTGTTCCAGGTGAATCAGTTCCATCACTAAACCCCGAATATGACTGTTTTCGAGTAAAGTAATCAGCCGTCATGATTTCCAAGATTCGAATTCAATCCTCGTTTCTTCAACCTTGAAACTATTTTTAATATTCGCCGTTTTGTTTGTCTCGAACACCAGTTCTACAATCTCTCATGGGTTACAACAAAGCTAAACCATTTAAGGTTGATAAGAAAGCGGTCAGAGTGGCAGATAATCGAGTTGCCCATATCGCATTGAGAGTGGGCGTCATTCCCCTACCAGTACTATCTCGTGCTCTAATAAATCTCAACCATCGACTTGAAACCGTTAACACTATACAGCTGACTTGAAGATCTATCGACCGTATGGCTGGATTCCTCCAGTAATGTGTCATATTTAATACCCTACCCAACTTACAATCACTCTCAAGGTCGGTTTATTACATTGACCGGATTCAGCTTAAATCTACAAGACCGATAGCACCTTGCAATCTTGACTAGACATCAAACAGGTCTATTTAAATTCGCAGCACAATCCTATGCATACTCAGTTCGATGAATATTTCTCACGATGATGACCTCCAACCTTATTTCACGGCTACTGCCTTCGAATTCCCAAGCAAGATCGATATATGATTCATTACGTGCTCACGACGAGGTTTCTGAATCGGAAATAGATGTAGAGGAACGAGCGGCAATGGCACTCGACGAGGAGAACTTAAGATTTCATGATGACGAGTTGGGGAATCTGGCAGATGTGATCGGCGGTGAATCCGTTACAGAAAGTACAAAATTCCTACCTGATCAACAACAACCAACACACAAGCCGGAATATGATCGCAAAGGAAAAGGTAAAGCACGAGCACACCATTTCGCAGAATCGCCTAGGTTACTTGCAGAAGATCCTGACGATGATGTGCCTGCTTCGTTGTTGATAGAGGGAGATAATCGTCATCCTGACCGGGAGGGTTCAGCCATTCGAGCAAGGCAGCCTGCGCTTCCAAAGAAAGCACACGCAATACCGAGACCATCAGCACATCAAATAAAAGATGAGAGAGAGAGAGCTCATTGGGAGATGACGCAGGACCAGCAGAAACTACACCAAGATGATGCAGCCAGGACAACTCCTGTGTCACATACAACACAAGCTATCCCTCGAAATACAGGAGTCTATTTGTCAGGCAGCCCAAAAGATAAAGCTATGTATCGATGGGTTAATGTGACAAATTTGGACAATTTCATCAGAGATTTATACGATTATTTTGAAGGGGCAGGTATTTGGTGTATAGTTCTAGCCAAAGCTATCGATATCCTGTGAGTACATCCTTTCGAAGTGAAGAAAACCGGGCTAATTTATTTTTTGTTAGCACCCTTCTTTTTGTAACAATATTTACGACTTTCCTTACGCAATGTGTCGACTATAAGAAGATCTATCGTGGCAACGCTCGTAGCTTAAGTCATGCGTTGGTTCCACAATGCACAAAGAAGATATCCGGAATTTCAAATGTAGCAATTTGGCTAGTTTGTCTATTTGTTCTCTATAAGATATATCAGCTTTTGACGGATCTTCCGAGGCTTATGAGAATGCGGGACTTCTTCACTTATCTCCTTGAGATTCAGGATAGCAATATGCAGACCGTATCTTTTCAAGATGTTATAGCCAGGGTAATGGCGCTTCGAGACGCAAATCCTCTGACCGTGGAAAGGATTTCGCCGAATAATCGAAAGTTTGTCATGGGTACTCAATCAAAACAACGACTTGATGCTCATGATATAGCAAATCGTTTAATGAGGAAAGAAAATTACCTCATTGCCCTGGTTAACAAGGAAATTCTGGATCTGACTTTACCACTTCCTTTTTTGCAAGGTCGACAGTTATTCTCGAAAACTTTACAGTGGAACCTAGAGTGGTGCATATTAGATTTTGTTTTCAATGACTATGGCCAGGTCAGGCAATTGATTCTGAAGGATTCTCATCGACGAGAGTTGAGCGATGGGTTACGAAATAGGTTCCTCTTTGCCGGTTTGATGAACGTTATCTGTGCTCCTGTCATCGTCATATATGTGGTGATTGTGTATTTCTTCAAATACTTCAATGTAAGGCTATCCTATACCTTGACGCATGAAATTTTGCTAATTCGACTTTTAGCAATATCATAAAAACCCTGCAGCACTTGGATCGCGTGGTTACACGCCTTTAGCGGAGTGGAAATTCAGGGAGTTCAATGAACTTCATCATCTGTTTAATAGACGGTTGAATATGTCCGATCCATTTGCGTCGCGCTATCTTAATCAATTTCCAAATATCAAAACCGCCCATATGGCTAGATTTATAACATTCGTTGCCGGAGCCGTTGTGTCCGTTCTGATAGTTGCCACAATTTGGGACTCTGAAGTTTTAGCTGGATTTGACATCACCTCGGAGAGGCCGGTTCTATTCTATCTAGGAGTGTTTGGATCGATTTGGGCTATCACAAATGGTATGATACCAAAAGAAAATGAGGTATTTGATCCCGAGTACGCACTCCGAAGTGTGATCGAATATACTCATTACATGCCAAGTCACTGGCAAGATCGACTCCACAGCGACGAGGTTAAGCAAGAGTTCTCCACTCTCTATCAGCTCAAGCTTGTAATTTTCTTTGAGGAGGTATTGAGTATTATAATTACCCCATTTCTGTTATGGTTCAGCTTGCCAAAGTGCGCCGAACAGATCATTGATTTCTTTAGAGAATTCACGGTTCATGTCGATGGCGTTGGATATGTTTGCTCTTTTGCTGTTTTCGACTTCAAGAAGGGAGTGGGTAGTGCTCCATCGCGAGGTATAGTCAAGACAGACGTGCGAGAAGATTATTATTCTACCAAGCACGGAAAAATGGCCGCCTCGTACTATAATTTTCTCGATAACTATATGCTCAATCCAAAAACAGGCGTACCAGGACACAATCCACCTGGTATGCGACAACAGTTTCACCCTCCTCCTGCCTTTCCAGGTTTGATGTCTCCATCATCGGGTGCGGATATGCAGAGCTCAAGGATGGGACAGAGTGAAGTGAGACCGATGAATAGAGCCCCCCGAACAACTCGATTCCCATCCAACACCACTGCTATGGGATCTCCTATGGCTTCTATTCTTTTGGATCCACGTCACCAGCCTTCAGCGTCTGAGATCGATGCTCGCAGCGTAAGACGGACTTCTCGATCCAGATACCCAGCTCGCAGAGAGAATAATATAAGAGAAGAGCCGATGGAAGATGAAGATGAACTTGGTCGACCAGTTCTTCAACCTGGAAGATCTTATGCAGTCGATGATACAGTTGCCAATCTGGGCGAATCAACTTGGGAAGTGTCTCCCGCAAATGACGATAATGGCGGGAAGGATGATGAGGATGATGGCGATGGGACAGCGGGAGATGGTGTTTTGGGACTGGTATATCAATTTCAGAAGGCGCAAACAAATGGTAGACCAGGTGTTAGTATATGGTAGCGAGCATATAGGAAGTTTCTGGTGTTCAAGGTGTCTGGCTATAGGGAAGTATGTATATGCATGATAATGATATTGGTCCGGGCCCAAGCCCCTGGATTTGAAGCGAGCCACTTGGGACGTGTGCGTATTTTTAGAAAGTAATTTTGATATCACTAATTCATCAATTAATGTCGTTTACAAGAAACAATAGTGTCAAGTTTATTAGAATGACAGGCAAGTAAAGATAATACGATGTATTAAGTTCAGTGTCGTTGAGAAATTGATTCAGAATAGTACAACATAGGTCTCATATCTAAGATATCATAGGTACCTACCTAGGTAATGAAAATACAAAATTCCAGGTTATCCCAAACAATCCGAATACGAAAATAACACCAGCCAGACAATAGGTTAGAAATTCAAGCTTTTTTTTACTTTCATTGTTTTCCCCTTCTACATCATAGGTAAGGTTAGGTAGGTTATAAATGTCGCCTCCACAATTAGAAAACGCTACCGTGGGACGCTACGGTATCGATTTCTTCCAGACCAGGGAGTACAGGATGGGAAATGGGAAAATGCGATTCTCAATTGCGGTGGGTGCATGAGAAATGGCATGAGGGTTTGGATGGAGGTGAGGTGGTGGGAGGGTTTTGGGAGGATTATCGTACGATGATGATGAGATGATGAGATGATGGGTGGGTTGGTGTGGTGGTGGTGTGGTGGTGGTCAGGGATGTTTTTTGAGATGAGATTGCCGAGGGTGATAAGAGAGATCTTGGTGCGGGGAAACCTCGGGATTAATTTTGGTGTGTGGATTTTGGTTATGGGGAGATGTGAGGTTTGTTGGGTTGAATTTATAAATATATATCTAAGTATTCTATCTTCTCTGATTTGATATAAGATTCGGATGATTCAATAAAAGTGTATGGTTATCGGGCTGGCGCGGGGGATGAATGGCTTCGAATCTCTGGAGTTTGGTTATTATTCTTGTTGGTATATATATAACTATGTCATCTACATCTAGATACCTGGGTAGGACTTCCCTTGGTGAAACAAATGGCATGAAATAGTGATCGAATATAAATGTCAAGTAAACCAAACAATTGGATCAGCTTACGCACCCCTCTAACCGTCTTTTATAATCTATCCGGGCTGGTAACATTGAGTTCGATAATAGTTATCGGTCGGTTCGTTTGTCGGGTCATGTGTGATTATTTCAGCTCGTACGAGTATTTCAGCTGAAGATTCGATTTATGTATCTTAGATGTGATTCTATGGGAAGTGGATCTTGACTGAAATTGAATATTTGTATAGGTAGTCTGGTCGAGTGAAAAGACTGGTTTCGTTTTCTGGCTTGTATATGTGGGAGGAGGTGTGAATACGCTTATATTCGTTGCGTACCTCCTTAGATATCACTTGGAAAGAATTCAACTGGATCGTCAGCAGAAATGGAGAAAGATCCAGGGTATGTACTGGTTCGGGACATGCACGCTTCGATTCGGTGAGTGCGATTCCGCGAGACATGTATCTTTACTGATCAATTAGCAGGCTCAATCTGCAGCATTATCTCTGGAAAGATGGGCTAGGGTATCTTTTGCACCCATCGATTCCTCTTCCGCCCCCAGAGACGAATTATCGGATTGCTGATCTAGGGACCGGTACCGGGTATGTTGTTTCGAACTGTGGGATCTATTACAGTTTTTGGGTTGTTCGAATTTCAATGTCTAATATCGCTCCTTGCATAGAATCTGGGCTTTGGATCTTGCTCGGCAACTCCCATCCACAGTTCAAATATGCGGTTTCGATATCTCCTCCGCTCAATTTCCACATCCAAATTACCTACCCTCGAATGTGAAATTAGAAGTTATGGATAGTCTCCAAGTTGAACCTCCTGAAGAGTTGTTAGAAAGCTTCGATATCGTGCATTTACGTCTTTGGCTTGGTGTTGTGATGAATGGAGACCCGAGTGCAGTTCTTACTCATGCATTGAAATTGTTACGTACGTTGTTCCTTCGTTGTAGGTGAGAAGAAAAGGGTGACTGAAGAATTGTTGTAGGTCCGGGAGGATGTATTCAGTGGGGTGAATTTGATCCAAATCGCGGTATCGCTGAGGGACCAAATGGCGAAGAGGCACCACATGTCGCTAAGATCCTTAATGTGCAGGCAAAGATCAAAGATCTCAGGTATATCTTCGCATCTCTATTTATTTACATATAGCTTCAGATTCCTCAATTCTGACTCTCATAGGTGGATTCCAGCTCTCCCTAAATTATTTGCACAATATGATCTAGAAGATATCAAGGAGGATTTTGCATTCGAGCAATCATGGCAGTCAAAGATGATAGCGGATAGTTCTTGTGCTGTTGTGCAAGAAATGGCGAATAATGGGAGTCGGTTTGTTATGGAAAAGTTGGAGAGGGTGGGTGTGGATGTTCCGAAGGCGTATGAGGAGGTCTGTGGAGGCGCGAGACTTACCCAGCCGTTTTGTGTGACGGTTGGGAGGAAACCAATTAAGATGAGTGTCTGAGATTTTGATCTTGGCTGGAAGGAATTAGGTGAAATAAGCTCTATGATACAAATCGCAAGTGACAAATTGCAATGATAGATACCTATTATATATCTATGAAAATCCACCGCACGAAGCGTGCTAGAAGGTAACAGATTTGGTGTTTGTGATAGTCATGTTGGCACAATGAATACTTCGCTTTACCACTTGAGTAAGAATGTCGTACAAACAAAAGCCAAACTGCTGTATATTTGAAAGAGCTGTGTTCATATACAATTATAAACTCGAGAGATGCGAGGTACATAAAGACACTATGTCCATCTCAAATTCGGTAGGTATGTTTAACTCGTGAATAGAGGAGAGGTAAAGGCACGTTGGGTACTAGAAATATGACCAGAAAATTGACAGGATGGGTTTCCTCTGTGCTAAATTGATGTCTTTCACTCATGAATCTGTGATCATGGTTTTTCACTGCTTTGAGAATCGCATATGCAGACAACTTTGCTGCATATGATTAAAAGGAATTGTTTCGCGCTGCTGCCATACGCCTGGCATATCCATTTCACGCAATGCTTGGGACAACGCAATCCAGTGATTAGAGGTTCCCTACAAAGTACTGAACAAGAAAAGAACTTCCTACCTTAAGATTGGGGACGACACAATTTCTCGGGCCGACCAACCACGGGATCGTCTGATAGCATGAATATCACGTGGCTGGGACTGTAATATTCAGGGATCGTGCTTGAGTTTGTTGCGCGCTTGCGCCTCTGACCGTTTTCTTTCTGCCGGTAAATGTATGTTCCTTTCATCCACATCTTGTTTGATGCGAACTGGATAGATGCGCGAGCTACGATAAGGGGAAATGCCCTAGGATTATCCAGATAGATGGTGGGGAGTGATTGAACTATCTCATGAATTTTAATTGTATTGCTAATCTGTACACACGTACTCGTATGTAATAGGAGTAATAGAGTAGTAGATAGCCATGTACCGAATAGCCGGATCGCTTCATGATTAGATTAGATGAGATGACTGTCTAGATGATTGTCTAGATGGTCCACGTTATCTAGCTGATTAATAGGTCGGTTCTACGAGTAGAAAAGAGACAGAAGAATCCGTCAGATACTCAGGTTCCTATAACAGTAATATCTACATAGCCGCAAGACCCGAATACTATTTATGAAGTTCCGGGTCATCTTTCTTGTCAGATAAAGCGGTAACTCCGTGGAACTGCTCAAGAAGCTTTCAGCCAACAGTGGGCAAGACAATAAGCAGAGAGTTCCGATCAAAGGCTGTAAAACTGCGAAAGCGGAGGTGGAATATAACAAAGAATTGGACTTTACGATGGCGATACGTAATATTCAAATATGTATTATCTTTCAATTGTTCTTTGCCGATGTAAATCAATGATCTTGAGGATTTCGATATGTAATCTAAATGAAAGACTTTCTTCAATTCGACTAAGTAACCTTAACCTACTGACAGAGAGTTTTCTTAATTCATGGTTGGTTCAAACATTTCTATCTGATTTTCTCGTTGTGATCGTCTACAAGGTACTTTGCTGTTTGCTTCAAAAGATCCAGCCAATTCCAACAGAGTTCCTTTGAGAATTCCTCTCTCTCCCTTTCAATTATTCTGTACAGTCTCTTGGTCCTATCGTACAAAAGCAATCAATCAAGCAATCAAGCTGTCTCAACTCTGTACAAAGCTACAGGTACCTCGGTCCCGGTTTTATTCCAAAGAAACCCCTGTTCAATTCGTATCTCGGATCTTTGGGGGAAACAAAAACACAGCATCACCACTTTTTTATTTTGTTTTCAACTAAAAATCGATATCTACCAATCAACCCGCCACCCCTCTTCCTTCCCCCCCTTCAACCACAACCACGACTTGATCGCAGAAAAAACTTCTATTAGATTAGAAGCTGTGCGATTTCCACACTGTGTATCTTTATCGACCAGCGACATTCATTGTTGATTCTACGGAAGTCGACAACCTGGCTCTTCAATCAGCTCAAGTTGGAGGAGGATCTGCGGCGTTAGCCCAAATGGCTAAGCCAGGCGGAGAACCTTTGGAGGAATATGATGAGTATGTGCTTATGGCGATGAGGGCAATTGGATTCTTGGTTTCATCGGGTCGCAGGCGCAAATCACTAATACCTTGTTGGCTAGATATGAATCTCTCCCACCAAATTTTTCGTTAATCCAGAATATGGCTGCGGGCGCCTTTGCCGGAATCGCGGTACGCTCTTCTAATCTACGGGATTCCTTGCATTCGATACTGATGGACCTATAGGAACATACTGTTATGTACCCGATCGATGCAATCAAGGTATACATGAATTGCCCCTCAGATGAAATTGAAAACCGATATTGATATGAGGCAGACCCGAATGCAAATTCTCAACCCTACCCCATCCGCAGTCTACAATGGTGTCATACAAGGAGGATATCGGATAGCTACCGGAGAGGGACTTTTCAGTCTATGGAGGGGCATGTCAAGTGTGGTTGTGGGAGCTGGTCAGTTTGGCTCGAATCGAACAAGCACGGAAGAATACTGATAGCGGCTTAGGACCTGCACACGCTGTTTATTTTGCTACTTATGAAGCTGTGAAGCACGTAATGGGAGGAAACCAAGCTGGTGTTCACCATCCTCTTGCTGCTGGTTGGTTTTTATAAAAGTCCAAGTTTTTCACATTTACTAATACTGAATAGCTACTAGTGGGGCTTGCGCAACCATTGCAAGTGATGCCCTCATGAACCCTTTCGATGGTATGATACGCATTTTACATCATTCTCTATTTTTTTGCTGACATTTTACAGTTATCAAACAGCGCATGCAAATGCACAACTCGAAAGTTATGTACAAATCAATGATGGATTGTGCTAGATACGTTTATCGAAGTGAAGGTCTTAGCGCATTCTATGTTTCTTATCCTACCACCCTATCCATGACAGTTCCTTTCACTGCTCTCCAATTCCTCGCATACGAATCGATGTCGACTTTCATGAACCCAACTAAAAAATACGACCCATGGACCCATTGTTCAGCTGGTGCGGTTGCAGGAGGTTTCGCGGCTGCTCTCACAACACCCATGGATGTGGTTAAGACTTTATTACAAACCAGAGGAACAGCGACTGATGCGGAATTAAGGAATGTCAGTGGTTTTGTGGAGGGATGCCGGGTCATTCATAGAAGAGCAGGATTCGGTGGTTTCTTCAAGGGTGTTAAACCAAGAGTGGTTACCACTATGCCTAGTACCGCTATTTGTTGGTCCGCATATGAGGCTTGCAAGTGAGTATTTTTATGATTTTGAATTTTGAATCTGGAATTAAAACTAACAAAAACACTAGGGCTTATTTCATCAGGCAAAACGATGCCGAACTTTGAATACTTTGGTTCAATATTCCCCTTAATGAGCGAAATCCGACTGCGGCTATGCGATACCTACCACACGAAGGCATTTTAGCCGGAAATAAAACTGCAATCACATGATATGATTCTGTGCTTGTGAAAGCGACTGAACACGATTTACACCAGTTGAGCTTTATATGATGTATTAACCTATCATGTCAAGCTTAACGTCAATGTTTGCGAGTAACGAATGGATCAGTACCGTCGGCCGATCTGTACATAGAACACCTTTTTCCTTTTCTCTTTCTTGCTTTTAGATCTCTTCGTTTTTTTGATGGTACATGATATGCATGCATGCATGGAAGTTTTTGATGGAATTCTTTGGGAAAAGTCATCGAACACAGGAGACATCATCGATGATATTGATGGGGATGTTTGTGGATGAACTTTGACTGGCGTTCATCTAGCGATGGATGGATATGCTAGGTGGGAGGGTGGATGGGGTTTAAAATGGATGGGAGTGGGTCGAAGAATACAGCTGGATGAAAATCAACTTTAGAATGAATGGTCGGTCTGGGTACTTACCCGATAGATTTATCGTGGAGTGTTGGCAGTGTGTATTTTTACCGAAAGAAAAATCAAGTGGAGTGAAGAGTGAAGAAAGGAAAGTACAAGACGAGAGAAAAATTTTCCCGCTGCGGCTCCAAATTGTGATGTGTGATGTGATCAGTGGAGATTGTGCGTGGGATTGTTGAAACAAAAATAGTTTGTTATGCCTTCGAGTGTGAAATCTTCAAGTGTGGAGGGTCCGGGGTTTCATTTGTTTGATATCAGAACTTTGCTTTTGATTCTTCAATCTCCAACAAAACATTGTAAGTATTCCTAAGATATACCAATCGATATATCAAGAGATGTTTCTAAGTCCATTCTTGGAGTGAGTGTCCCAACAGTCCGTACACCGACTGGTGGAACGGCGGAAGAGGAAAGGAGAATAGAAAATGTTCCATCCTCTTTCCTGAGTACACCTGCGGGGCGTAGAGGTGGAAGCGGAAGTGTGGAGTTACTGGAGAATAGGATGGATAAGTGTTTATTTTGGTGTTCCTAGTTCCTAGTGGACATATTGATGCTTAGCTGGGTGGGAAGGGGTGTGGGATATTTGTGCTTGGATGGTTAGATCATATCAAGGTAAGTGAAGTCAGGTTCGGTCAGGCTGGGTATGGGATAAAGAGGATTTACGGAAAAGCGATCATATATTGAGGGGGAAACAGATGGGTATTTGAAAGCGAGGAAGAGAAATTGGAGGTGGGAATTCGGGGTAGGGGGTCTAGTAGTTCGGGGTATCTATATATAAATGGCGGTGTTTGAGGTGTGGATAATGTGGTCTTCTTTGCGATCTTGAGGGGCTATAGTTGATGGATGGCGTTAATATTTTATTTGGAAACGTTCACTCACTGTTTATCTTTTTATTTATTTTTTGTGATTTTATCACACTTTTCCCTTTTTACCACATAAGACTGTGATTTATATGAGTCGATGTGAAAATGTGGCTAGTAGCTATATATCCCGAATGACTAGGCGAATAAACAAAGCATCTTCCTTCTTGAATTCGAATCTAGTTGAATTTGCCCATCTTTAGAAAAGAGCGAATCTTGTGGATTATGATACTCGGGGGATAGAACTAATGGGTTAGGGATCATCCATATTGAATGTGTATAAGTTCTGTTGATTCGAAGGTTGGCCTTAAGATAGAAGAGTGGAATAACGTAAAATGGACTCATTCATACCTACTTACGACTATGAATCGAGCCAAGGATGACCTGACGATATTGTTACCGAAATTCACATGTCTGAGACTCATTGCGCATGCATTTTTTGTTTACTTAAGGGTTTACTCTCCTTTTATTCATGCTCTTGATTTCACTTCTCTTATCCACGTCAAGATTAAAAAATTTCCTCAACATTAACATCAAATCAAAATCGACGTCAAATCAATTCCAATATTCAATTCGATATACAAGCTGGAGCCAAATAAAGTTCAAAGTATTGCCGAACCCACCAAATCGAAAAATGTCATCTCACTCGCGTTCAAGCTCCGTCCAGACGCACTCCAGTTCAGGCGCCGGCTCGGATCGAATGTTCTTCAGAGTAGACTCAAGCCAAGCTTCTACCAGATCAGGCTCAAGTCGTTCGTCGGTGAGCTCAAATCCGAGTCGAGTATTCTCTAACCCAGGCTCGAGCCGTTCGTCAGTGAGCTCATACTCAAGCCGCACATCTGGCAGCTCGGTCTCAAGTCAAGAGTCTTATGGCTCAAACTCAAGCGGAAGGTCATCCAATTCAGGCTCGATCCAATCAACGGATGACGGATTAGAACCTCTCATGAATGGCTGGTCTGGACCGCGGTTTAAGCAACGTTCACGCGTAAAAGCATATGCTGATATGATGAGTGATCAAATGGAAAGGACGGCTAAGGCAGAGAGAAAAATTCAGTCGGAGATGAGGAAGAAGGCAGGTTATTACATTGAGGATCCTAAGGCATAATGTGTATTTGTGAAGGATAATGGAAGGTATTTAGACCTGGAAACTAGAAATCGATGATATTACATAACCTCCAGATCTCGAGTCATCTGCTGGGTGTTGTTTAAAGAATTGTGAGATCGATTCATAGATGTCGATTTAACTAGTGACTTGACTTTATGACTGTGTATACTGACTGAACTAGTTCCAAGAATCATAGATTTATGATTATTCATATCAGAAGAAGATGCGTAACGAGGACTCATGAATCTCTCAGCATTCGTTTACTAAAGGGTTGAGTTCCCGCTTGTTCGTACCCGCCGATTCTACTTCTCTTTATCCTTGACATCAATATCAAACTTCTCAATAAACATTCAGATCGATAATCGAACCAACACTCGAAAGACTTCAACACACCCATCTTCAAAACACATTACAATATCCACCTCAGCATCGCATCAGAACCAAAACCAACGTCGGATTAATATTAAAGCAACTCGAAAGTCATCATCTAGGCCGATTTCAAGATAAAAATACGATCCACTCCAACCGACCTCGGATACTCTTCAGATACAAATTTTTGCTATCCAGTTTTAGCTCAAAGATGTCTTCCAAAACAGACCAAGCAAAGGCAGACTCGAGAACCCAGGTTCAAGGAGGAGAAAGAGCTCCTACCCAGGAACACGGTGAGGTGGAGGTAAAGAAAGAAGAGAAAAAGGTCGGAGAGGGAAGGAGTATGATAAGAGATATTGGAAGTCGTGGCAGTGGAGGTAAAAACAGGCATAAAAATATGGTAGATAAAGACAGAGCGAAAAGTCTCAGAGCTAATATCTACGAGGATAGGAATCACTTAGACAAGAAGTATGAAAAGAACCTAGGTGGAGAGCAAAAGAGGTAATATACATAAGGAAAGGATGGTGATTGTTGAGAGAAAGGCAAAGGAAATAGAGGAACAAGAGGACCGTGAAGAGAGAAAGCATTTTCAGAGACAGCGCCGGGGTTATTGAGCCTCTGAGTAATGGGTATGGGAGTAGCTTGAATGCACTTACGGAGCAGCTGTGAACAATATTTAGACCTAGGAAATTTACATCGATGATATTACATAAACTGAATTCTTCATGCCATCTTTTGAGTGATGCTCAGAAGATTATTGGAGCAAGTCAGGGCTCTCTCGATGATCTTGCAACTACTCACATTAAATATGAGTGTAGAAGGTTCGTGGATTCATGATTCCTCATATTGAGAATGCGTTCCAGAACGAACCTACAGAAGGAGCAGTAAAGAATGAAGAAATGAGATTGTTGCTAAATAATATACTGCTTCGATTTCATTCGTTCACTTAATGAATCATTAGAATCATTAGAATCATTAGAATCATTAGAATCATTAGAATCATTAGAATCATTAGAATCATTAGAATCATTAGAATCATTAGAATCATTAGAATCATTAGAATCATTAGAATCATTAGAATCATTAGAATCATTAGAATCGTTACTACTAACCTAAAATAACACTAATTCAAAAACACTTAACTGAACTTTTGATTACCTTTACAAGCATCATTCTTACTTCTAATATTCTTTCAAATTAAAATAAGCAGGACTTTCTTAGTATTTTAGACTTAGATATTACTCCATTTATATTTTATATGAATATTGTATGTTGAAAGTAGTCAGTTTCCGCGGGAGGGAGCTATGGCCTAATTGGTACTAGCGCCAATTTACAAGGTAGTCACGCCTTACGAAGGGCACAACTGGTGAACCATATTCCAGCTCTCTTTAGTCAAACAACAACACGATAAACTATACCCACAACTCAACCAATTAATTTCCCACTGCAACCATATTTCAATGTTGTATTGTTTATTGAATATCCCACAATGGTGCCACAATAGTGGTGAATGGTTCGATCAGCGTTGATCTGATCTTACTTGTTGGAGGATCTTTCTTTCAAATTTGGTTCTGGACGTTAGAGATTTCTCAGAACGCAGATCAGTCGTCTTCACGAGCATATTTTATAATCTCTATATATCTTGGTGGAAGTTCTTTGATAAATACTGTATTCGGTATAATCAATGCTGGATGGAACCTCGAGAGAAAATTGGCACTTTCAGCAAGTATTTGCTCTATATTTTTTCCGGTTGTATTCTCTTTGTGCGATTTGTTAAGACCAGTACATAAAACTTCGGTCTGGAGAAAGTGGGAACCTCCAAAGACACAAGCAAAACCGAAAACCCCAGAGAGGAAGGAGCGGGAGGAGGAGGAGCGGGAGAAGGAGGAGCGGGAGAAGGAGGAGCGGGAGAAGGAGGAGCGGGAGAAGGAGAAACGGGAGACGTAGAAACGGGAGACGTAGAAGTAGGAGACGGGGGAGTAGGAGACGGGGGAGTGGGAGACGGAGGAGTGGGAAACGGAGGAGTGGGAAACGGAGAAATGAAAGACAGAGGAGTGGGAAAAGAAGGAATGGGAGCAAAAGAAACGGGAGACAGAGAAGTGGGAAACAGAGGAGTGGGAGAAGGAGGAGTAGGAATGGGAGAAGTGGGAGACAGAGAAATAGAAGACAGAGGAGTGGGAGAAGGAGAAGTAGGAGAAAGAAGAATGGGAGCGGGAAACGAAGAAGTGGGAGACGGAGGAATGAGAAAAAGAGGAATGGGAACAGGAGACAGAAGAATAGGAAATAGAAAAGCAAAAGACGGAGAAGTGAAAGATGGAAAAGTGAAAGATAGAGAAGTAGAAACGGGAGACGGAGAAGTGGGAGATGAATGATTGATTCTATCTTTTTCTACTTAAAGTACGGCTTCTTTCGATCTTTATTTCTTTTCTTACATCTACATATCAACATTCGATATTCGATCGACAACTTCGAACTTCACACCAAGGAGGAGCTGCTTAATATGTCAAGTTACCAACCTCAAGCCCGGTATTCTTTTAACTGCCAAGACAAGGAAGTAGAAGAATATCTCGTACATACGATTATGGAAATCCACGTAGCCAAAGTCTCATCGGAGGAGAGGATCAGCCATATCAATACCACCACAGATATGCCTATCCCACTAGCGAAGGATCAGTTCAAGAGACCGTAGCCCAAGAAACCCAAAGAATTGGATTTAGAATAGCTGGGGGGAAAGATGTGTATAACAGATATTTGAGAAGTGGAAGTCAGATAGATAATATTGGATCTGGAACGGGCGACTTTTCAAGAATGAGCATGTCATACGGTACACCGGTGAGGGATACGTGGGCAAGAGATATTTGGGAAAGTGAAATGGGAAAGCAAAATGATTTAGGGGGAAGGAAAGATATCTATTAGAGGGTAGGATAGACAGGCAGGTATCCGATTTGATGAAGCTATAGCGAACAAAGCGAGGTTGGAGATAAAGAACCAGTGGAAATCAAGGGGCAGTGATTGTTCTTTAGGCCTATGAATCAAAAGCGTTGATGTTACACAATTGTGTCTATGATCATACAACTACAAAAATTGACTTGTGAATATCTCTTGACATATCGGATGGGATATCTTGAAACTTATTCCAATCATTTATTAGATGTGAAAAAATCAAAGTATAAGTTTTGATATCAAACAATTGAAGAATGAATTTTTTAATTTTTTTGGAAGTTGGGAAGTGTCCCGTCAATCCATGTACCCACTAATGGTTTAAATGATTGCAAAGTCATTATATACTAACAAATAGCTTCCTGGAAATCATCTCATGACTGTCGAAGTTATTGTATATATGATTCACAAATGAATAGAGCAAAAAATGGAGGTCAAAGGCTCAAGAATAAGGGAAAAGATTGTATAGTTGTAATATCATCGATTTATTATCCAAGACTAACTGCCATTTCTCAATTCCATCATTCATTCTTTAACACAGTACTTGTTGCTCTCCATTACATGTTCAACCCCCTTCATTGCGTTTAAATACGATGCTCTTCCGCATTTTCAAATCTCATGTAGCGATCCAACGATCTTGTCCTGGTCCGAAAAATGGCTATTGACCTTCGCCATTCCAAAATTTCATCACTGTCTACTATGGGTCGTTCTGGAGGACAAGCTATTGCCCATGGATAATCAAGCTCTTTGGAATCCCCCCTGAGACACAGAAGCTCGTTCAAATTTGAATCGTAATCATAGAATTGGTAATGCGACAAAAAATAGCGAGAAGGTCGGCATGCATAGCGTTCTGGAATGCGTAGAGCCCAATGAGAGCTTGGTGTCACACACGTCACAGATAGAGAAGTTTGTTCCTCGGGCTGACTGAGGGGTACCAAATCAGAATCATATCGTTGACGATGAGTTTCATGATGCTCATGATGATGACGTGTGTTGTTCGGATATACAAAAATGGGATGAGATGGTGGTGATGGTGATGGTGAACGGGATCGGTATTGACTCTCGCGTTGATTATTGGGCGCAGGTTCCTCATCCGACTGCAATGTTGCCGTAGACCACGTATCGCTGTCAGCGGGTTCCTGGTCTGTGTATTGATCTTCTTCTTCAATGATCTGAGTTTCGAGTTCGATGGACAAAGCTTGAGACGTGGTATTTGATCCTCGATCAGCGAATGGAGCTCGGGCTGGGTGATGATTATTTACTCCATGGAATGACGTGCTAGATGGGCCGTCAGGAAACATAAAATCCTCAGAGAAATCGTCAATTTGCACGATGGCCCTTTGCTCTTTGGGTTCTCGAGGAGTCTCTTTTAGATTTGTTTGTCCATTTGGATTACGCGTCATTGTATTGGTATGGTATGGTATTGATGTGGATTCTGGATGTTGATGAAAAGTTCTGATTTTGATGGTTGTTGTTAATGAAGAGAAGCAGAAATCAACAGCATCTGGAGGGATGCTGAACGCTTAAGTGAACAAAAGCCAAAAGATTTATGACTCCGCAAACTGTGTATACATCAAGTATGAATAATCGAAACTGATGAAGTCATATATACTTCACTGTTGCAACAAGCACAAATGTGTAATATCAATGACTCGAATTTCTATGACTGATCTCCTGATTTCGTCACATCATCTCGTACCTTTTTCACATATCCATTTCTTCTGCTTCTACCACTTCTTCCTCATCGGCTCTTTGTTTTCATTTCTTGTCCTTTCATTGCTCTGTCTCCGTCTTCGTGTTTTCCACCGCCTAGTTTTTTGCGCCTCGAGCTTCTGGTTGATAAACTGCGTTAAATATCTAATTTGATATTGATGGTCGAAAGTGTTGATCTTGATGAAGAAATTTGAGGTTGAGGGAGAGAAATGCAAATCAATGACTTTAATACACTCAATTTCATAGTTAGCTTCTAGAATGTGGTTTTGTAGTCTTATAATCTTTTTGATGAAAACAATCACGCATAAACTTCTAATTTTATTAATATAATTTTGAAATCAAAAACCTCTGAAATACGATTGAAATTTTGATTCGGGGTTTCTGCTACACGGTTATACACACAAATTTGTAACATCAATGCTTTTGATTCATAATCTTAAAGACTATTCAACACTCCCAAATATCCACCAATTCGATATTCCTAATTCTACCTTATTTGTTATGCCCTCCTATCAAATGAAACATTCCCCCCCGTTTTACATCATTTTGCCTTCCCATTCCACTTTCTCATGCACCTCTTGTCAGCACACTGTCTGATATGCTTAACCTATCCCTATCATGCCTTCAAATTTTTCTTTATATCTCTCCAGCTTAGCTACTCAAGAATCTTCTGTACGCATCATTTCCTTCAGCTGTTCTAAACCTAGGTATTTGAGCTCCCCGAGCATCAGTATATTGATCTGGTCTCGCAGTACTCGTGTAATCATTTCTATGGTGCATAGATGGCAAGCCGGGATTCGTTTGAAATCTAGTGGCCGGTGTAAAAGTACTTTGACTCCGGAAAGCTGAGTAAGGGGGCGAAGAGGGAGGACTTTGACGGCTAATTCTAATACGTGGTGGAGGCGGTGGAGGCGGTGATGGAGAGGGGGTTCGATACCGACGTTGTGTAGCATAAGCTGCGGATGAAAATGGCCGTTCTCCTGGCTGCCTGATGTGTAAAGAGTTCGGTTGTCTTCCATACTGTCGTTGATCAGATGTATAGCGGGGGAGATTGCGCTCGGCACTTCTAGAAGAAGTAGGAACTGATCCATAGTCACGTCTTCTTTCTCGAAATTGAGCATCTGACTCGCCACTTGACGGACGAAATCTAGTGCCATAATTTGGAACGGTAGATGTAGGTCGCTGGCTTGTATATTGTCCATCTCTCCATTGAACTGGATGGTAGTTATCCTCAATGTCTGTGATATCTTCTACCTCAAAGTTGTCATCACGACGAGGCTGGAATTCGGCCTGTGTTTGATATCTTTCTATGGCGTTAGACATTCTCCAATTTTTACCGGTATTTTTTAGTGCTGGTTTGATCTGGTCTCCACTCAAACGATTGGGAAAGTTGTTACCAAGTGTTGATTCTTAAATCTGATGTTGAATGTTGATGCAGTTTGATTGTTGTTGATAAAAAGAGGGAAAGCAAAACAGAAAATCAGAAGAGAAGGAATCCTTAAATGAACAAAACTTCATGCAGTGTGTGAGTTCTCAAAGTTCAAGATTGATAAGAATGAATGGAAATGATTCAGGAAATGACTGAAAAATTGTAAAGTGATAATATCATCGATTCTGATTCCTAAGCCTAACAACTATTCATCATCCCCCTAGTTTCTTGTTTCATTACACTCCTAGACACCTGCTAATAGTATCCCAGCCCTGTGATTCATTTCTATCCTCCACTGACCTCGCTGTTGTCTTTCCCACTATCCAAATTCTCCCTGTTACCCTCCTGCCTTCCCCTTGCAGTTTTCTTTTTCGGAATGAAATTTCCAATCCACTAAAATCCATCTCCATTACTCCTATATCTTCTTCCCGAGTCTCCATTAAGTTTGTCTGGTTTAATTCCTTATTCCCAGAGTTTTCATAGCTGGTAAACGGATCACCTCTATCGAACCTCTTATCTGCAGCTTTCTGGGCACCTTTGCGAACACTATACGGAGCTGATTTTGAACGTCTATGCCGTAAAGATGATGAACCCGGGTACATTTGGCTTCCACGGGATGTAAGAAGGGAATGAAGTTCTTTGACGACTGGAGTAGGAGTAACCGGTGCCACAACAATTGTAGGGGGAGGTAATTGGGACGTCGGGACTGGATATCGAGGTGGTGCATTCTCGTGATGTTTGACTTTAGTGTGTGTATTACAGGCGGTATGAAGTTTTTGCACACGGTTTGAAGACAAAAGCGCTGTATCTCGCTGATTTCTGGCTCTTGGCCTTGAGCTGTTAGACCGAATCTGGTTATTACGCTTAGGAAGAAGTAAGTGTTGTCCAGGCGTGATTTGTTCAGGTCGAGCCATGGAATACGAGCTAGTAGATAGAGCATAGTTCCCGTACCCGCGGCCACTTGGGGATGGACTGGGCGGATCCTCTTGTCTTTCTCGCCAACCGCCTTGTTGTGGTGGATCCATTCCTACGGAGCCTCGACTTTCTCTCGCTTCAATACGGCTTTCAGGATTATTTCCTGTGAACTCCCAGGCGCCAGACATGTCTCGGTTGCGTTGTTTATTATTGTTTGAAGGTAGTTTGAGCTGTGACGCTACAATATCCAGGTTCAAATCAAAAACTTAAAGTTAGTGAAGTTGTGAGGTTGGAATGGGTGAAGAAAAGCAGACCATAAATTTTGGACAATCTGCGCTCTTAAGTAGCTAGAATCTACTTAGTCTATGAGTCCCTGGATTGCATTTTGAGAATCATGGTAAAAGAAATTGCATGATTCGGTAAAATCTGCAAATGATGACTCGAGAAAATGACTCAAAACCTGACTCGAAAGAGCTTTTAAGGATGGGAAGTTGTAATGTCATCGATTTTTGAGTTCTAGGTCTAAGTATTATGTATGATTCCTTTATGAATGTATTCCTGTCATATTCCTCAATCCCTGAGATCAATATCCTCAACTCGCCATCTATCACTCGCTTCATGATTTGCTCTTCTGATAACGCCGCAGCTCTTATTCCATGTGTCTTGCTGATTAATCAAATTTTCCTGTTAATTAATACCTATATCCTTATCTTGTCCTTCTCTCATAATATTCCGCACGCCTATGAGTCGCTTGATTGTACCTCGCGCTTGCACCTGCACTGGGTCTGTCTGTTCTGGCAAAAATGATGTTTTTTGGATAATTTTGATCCGGCTTCAGATGCGCATTGAGACTGTAAACTGCATCCCTTTCATTATTACAATAAAATTGGAAGTAGTAATATGACAGCATCTTAGCGGAGGGAGGTGGAATGCGTGTTGCATCAATCGTGGTAGGATGGTGTGGAAGCGAATGCGTCGCACCAGAATTCGTATATCGAGTCGTTCTCACATGGACGCCAATGTTTACAGGTTGAGGATGGTACGCTGGTGTTGTATGTCGGGAGGATGAGGGTGCGAAACCATACCCAGAATTTTGGGAAGGATGATATGGTGGATCTATTCCGTATCCCTGCTGCGCACGTATAGATCGAGTGCCATGTTGCGTACCGTATCTAGTTTCACTCGAAGCATGCGGATATTGAGATTGAACATCAGGAATAGAGTCATATGGATCGATGTAGACAGGTCCTGAGCCTCGATGCGGCTGATCTTCTCCCACCATGGGACTTAGACTACGCGGATTTCCATGATCATATGTGCGAGACATTCTTCGACCTGTTCCTTGTCTTGGTAGGTAAATGAATGCCGAAATTGAGTTTGATGACCGGACAATTCTTAAACGGCTTGGTTTTGGTGTGAACTTTGATATTGTTGATCGAAGATTGAATTTTGATGTAGAGGTTCGAAATTGAAATGGAGATTGAAAAAAGTCGAGCTTTAAGTAGCCAAAAGCTATGTATTTTATGAGCCATTGAAGCTCATATTCAACATGAGTAATCATGAATACATGAACATTTTATAGTCTTTTTACGGTAATAACCCCATATAACAGCATTTCATGTATTAGTACCTCGATTAGTAAAAATGATATTTGGGGTCTAGTATGTACTAGTTCAGATTGTTTTATTTCTTCAAATAGTGATTTCCTAGTCCTACTAAAATAATGATATTTGGGTTTAAAAAGAGAAGAAAATGAGGCTTCTTGGATGAATTTTCATTTTGTGAATCTTTTGAATCTTTTGAATCTTTTGAATCTTTTGAATCTTTTGAATCTTTTGAATCTTTTGAATCTTTTGAATCTTTTGAATCTTTTGAATCTTTTGAATCTTTTGAATCTTTTGAATCTTTTGAATCTTTTGAATCTTTTGAATCTTTTGAATCTTTTGAATCTTTTGAATCTTTTGAATCTTTTGAATCTTTTGAATCTTTTGAATCTTTTGAATCTTTTGAATCTTTTGAATCTTTTGAATCTTTTCATTAATTGAACTCTAGTCATTTCATGTCGAACTTAATGAAACGGAATCATTACTCATTTCAATAGTATATGAATCTCAAGGCTCAGAAATTTTGCCCTCGATTTGGATACTTAAACGCTCAACTCCCCATTATTTTCCAGCTTTGCTTTTTCCTTCTCTTTTGAACTTCAGCATCAAGAGTTCCATCGAAAACAAGACTTTCAAAATCAACCATAACATCAAAGCCAGTATTCAAGCAAAACATGCCTACAGTAGAAGAGTCCTTCAGGCCTAAGGGTGGAGGCCATCCAAAATCAGTACAATCTGCAGCCTCAATAGTGCCAACTACGAGATCCAAATCATCCACACATCGATCTTCTAAAAGTTCGGCAGCCTCAAGCGTGTCAGATACGAGATCAAAATCGACCAAACATCGATCTTCTAAAAGTGCAACAACTTCACCCAGACGACTTACACCTCAAGATCCGAAGACTCAAACAACCAATACACTTGTGGATGACTATAACAAGAGAAGACGACCCGGCGCTACCGGCACGCATGCACAATCCAGCAGTGGATCTGTAGCTTCAAGTAAGCCGGGCCGACTAGCGAGGCTTCTCAAGGGCCTTTCCAGCAGCGGTAAGGGTTCGGATAGCCAGAATAGAGCCCTCGGATCAGCAGCTTCCAGCTCTAAAGCTCCTGCCTCTGTGCATGCGTCCGAACGTGGACCCGTGGCTTCCAGTAACACGCATCTACAAAGATTATCAGGCGCTCCTGAATTCCCGAATGATCAAAACGCCCGTATAGAATCATGGCGCAAAGCTGTAGTTCCATATAAACATGAACAACAAGCTTTGGTGCCATTTGAGCAACCGAGAAATTCGGCATCTACAATCAAATATCCACAGCCCGATAACCGTGTAGTTTTGTTTAAGCCATCTGAAGAAGCTGCATCCTGCAGCGCTCTAGTTTTGCATAGAACAAAGGAAAACCAACAATCTTCATCCGTCCTGCGACGTGACGATCACGCAACTCGAGTCGCACGTAAACATCACGCCAAATCGAGATCGGAATATAGTCAATCGCGTTCTGGCAAGTCATCCGGAAGTTCCCGTGCTATGAGTATAGATGGAAATCGCAGTGAGAGGCAAGAACGACCGCGACCAAGACATTCCTCTCATAGGTCCAGCATTCGACCTGGAAATCCACCTCCACCACCTCCTCCGCCTCCACAATTTCAAGGTCCTCGGGCTCCGGATCAACCTCCACCAGAACCAACATCTGCTCCAAGATATAGAGGAAAAGCGCCACCAAGACCGCTATGTGAATCTTGCATACCACAATCTCACACAGAGCATCTACAGAGACCACCACCTCCTTTGCCTTGCACATCACCCATTTATTATCCACAAGATGGAATTTCAGAATTTGAAAGAGAAAAATTAGTTACAACGCAAAGGCTTGTTGAAGCTACTGAGCAACTTCGTGTGGAAATGGAGAGACACAACGATAACGCAGAAGCTATGTGCCATCAGACCCCCATGTACTTTGGTGGATTTTCGTTTCTTCCAACCTTTAATAATCAGTGAGAGGTGGTTAGGTTAGTTATGCTAAGATGTATTGTGGAGGAATAGGATTTCATATACCCGAAGGAAGGAATAGGATAAGAAGACCTGTGTTTTAAAAGTTACAATCGATGATATTTTATACCCAATTGCACTTGCCACACGAGCTCATGTGATACTTCAATACATTCATAGTCCATTTCGAATTCATTTTAAAATGTAGACGCAAACCTCAACTTGAGGGTCCAAAGTAAAATATTTGTATTCTTTTCGTATAATTCTGCCACTTGATATTAGGTATATTGTATCCTATAACCCTTATGCGATATACAAATGCAGACCCGTCAATAGCATTTAAGATATCATAACCATGACCTTCATACCATGTAACTCCCATTTTCATTTCCATTCCAAATTCCCCCCTAATTTGTACAAACCCTTCGACAAAAGGTAGATCAGTAGTCAAACCGCTCAATCATCATCGCTACTCTCCTCACTACCCAGAAATGCCAAATCATTCTTTCTTCTAGCCCTAACAGAAACCTCCATGTCCTCATCATCGTCATCATCCTCACTCTCTTCGTCATCATTTTTAGTACTGCCGCTCTTGCTTTTGTCATCATCATCATCATCATCACTGATCTCACTCTTCTTCTTGTCCTCTTTAACACCACTCCCACTTCTTCTAGAACTTCTTCCCATTCCCCATGCTTTCTCGCCCTCCTTTACTGCTTCCAAGTCTGCCTGTAATTCCCTCATCTCCTTAATTTCTCTGGCTCTGCCTTCGCTAAAACGTCCAGTCATACCAATCTCCGTCAGCATGTTCTTTAAGTGCTTGATTTTCTCATTTTCTGTTTCATATTTCTTCAGTTCGAAAGCCCAAATTTTGCGAATTCCACACTTGACAAGTTGCGATTGAAGTGTTTTAATCAACTGTTCGTTGGGTGTAAGTTCTGCCGTGGTCTTGGCCTTCGCGGCTTTAGGTTTCGCAGTCTTTGTTGTTTTAGAGGGCTTGGACGAAGTAGATTTGGACTTTTTGGCACGAGATTTAGTGGTTAAAGGTCCATCGAGAACGACAGACATGGCAGAGGAGTCAGATTCGTTGCCCGCGGCGTCTTCTGTTTTTGGGAGAGAGGATAAGGATGAATCGCGGATCTTTGGAGACGAGGGTTTAGGAGATTTTGCCTCGGGTTGAGTGATCGATTCAATATCGGATAATTCAGAGCCAGAAGTTACCGCCTCTTTCGCTACTGGTTTCTTAGTCTTCTTGGATGCTACCTCATCTTCATTGTCGCCGATTTCATCATCTGAATCAGCTTTGGCAGTCTTGTGAACTTGCTTCTTTGGTTTCGCTTTTGGCTCGTCTTCGCTCATTTCGGAACCAATATCTGATAACTCTGATTCCGCAGGCTCGGAAAGTTCGGATTCAGAAACGGGAGTTTTCTCTTTCTTTTGTCTCTTTGGAGGGGGTGCCTTCTTTTCGGCAGAAGATCGTTTCGTTGGCTTCGCAGCAGGTGTAGCTTTTTTGGCAGGGGTTTTCTTGATATTCTTTGCCTTCACAGGCTCTTCCTCTTCCTCTTCTTCATCTCCTTGCATCAATTTGTCCTGCAGTTGATGATTAGGATTGATTGTTAAACCCAATAGCTGTAACTCAGAGTGAACTTACAACTTCGCCCTTAATAATTCCCTTGCTTTTTTCCTTCCACTTCCCTTCATTCAAGAAACCATCCCCCAATTCGTATTCTTCTTCTACTTTTGTTCTAATGAATCGTACACTTAATTTATCTTTCTCGTCGCTGTGAAATACATCGCGAACAGTCTTGGAGAGTGCGCTCGTCAAAGCTTTATCGGAAAGTGGCATTTTGTATACAGAGATGGAATTATGACGTGAGCATATGATAATGAAGGATGGTAAAATTCAGATTGGATTCTACCAGCTTGAAAGACTAGAAAGAATTCCTTCAATAATTCTGATCAAATCGCGTCGCGTGTGTATGGAGCTTTTGGATCGTCATTCAGTGAGCGTTGAAGTAGGGATCATGAACACTTTAAGTAGAAGGCGGTGGATGGCAGAAATTGTTAGCTAGAAAAGTTAGTATTGACCACTGCCTAGTACCTAGATACCTAGCAGCCTGGGTACTCTAGATTTGCAGACACCTTACCTTCTTCAAAATGCTGATAGTATAGTTCTTCAATGAAGAAAGATCTCTTTATCTACCCCTATTATGAACTCAAGGGGATACATATACTTTGTTTTAGAAACGTGGAGAGGATCTTTCACAACCGAATCTGGATCATCTGTCGGGTTATTCATACCGGGTGTGCCTTTGCGACAACGTAGCTAACTTTCTTTCGAACCGTCTAGGCCTGAATCATATCGCGATTTACCTAACAAAGACATTATCAGGTTTTTAATCTAGGGGTCTGTCTGCCTCAAGAACTTAGATGCCTTTTTCATACACCCTGCATTCTTGAGATGGCCCTGCAGCTCGGATAGCGAATCGCTTCCGAGCCATGGTAATCTTTGAGATATCATTTTGAATCAAAAGCTCAGCGTATGGCATTTCTTGGAACTGCTCTTCGTTACCCTTTAAATCATCGAACATGGCCCAGTCGCACCGAAATCTTGCCACCAGTAAGGAAACCATCATGTGACTAGGTAATATCCCCCTACAAGGCTTGTCAAGTCTTCTCTTTGGACAGGACGGTCGATGGGATTCTACAAGTGACATAATGTGGTATCCCAAGGCTTGAACTGGGTCTACGAGTATTGATGGTTTGGAATTCACTTGGCAATTAACTACCTTGGGAGTTTCTTGTTCACCAGCCTAATCATGCACAGACTGACAGCGAAAGAAAGAGCTCGAATCATAAACATGGGTAGTAATGGTTATATTTCCTCCCTGTTCTGTTTCGAAGACTACAACATCGAGGGATACACTTTGAGAGGAATCAAAGCCCCGAAGCACTCTACGAAGCCCATGGACCACCGTGGCTTGTTGGTTTCCCTCTCACAATTGCATATGGGCAGAGCAAAATAGCGACCGCCCTATAGTATGCACAGCTCTCTGAACTTGTCAAAAGGAGGGATCATAGTTGTCTGTGTTCGTCCAGGATGTCTGTTCTCTTTTCCGCTCAAAAAGCACTTGCCCAGGTGGTGCTGACATCTCAATAACCATAGACACAAATTCATGGAGACATATGCCGAGAGAAAGTGCTGAGCAGCTCTTCACTATGCTGCCCATGAAGACTCAAGGTCAAGGTGTCAATGCAACCTTGGTTGCAGCTCTTAACCTCAAGGTTGCAGGTAAACATTCCTCCATTATACGAATCTACAGAATTCAAAAACCATTGACTTACGGTTCGTGTCTTAATGTCTTCAAATGTCTCTTCCGAAAATTGCCAAATTTGGCCGACTCTTAGTTTATTCAACCTTATTTATACCAACTTCCTCAAAAGTATTTCCTGCTTCACACACGGCATAATCCCTGCATTCCAGTAGACATTTTCTGGTCTTCTCACTCCCTCTGGAAACTTCAATTCGTATCCCTCCAATATTGATCCTAGAACAAGTTTGATCACGGCCCCCGCGTACCATCTTCCAGGACATGTTTGTCTTCCATTTCCCCAAGCTAGATTACCAGGTTCTATGCCTGTGAATTCTTGGAGAGGATTGGGAGTGCCTGTCTGTGTTTGGGCGAGCGATTGGTAGAAGCGAGAGGGGTTGAATGTGGAGGGGGAGGAGGGTCCGGTGTAGTATGTGGGATCTCGAGATAGTGAGGAGGCAGCCATGGATATGAAGGTTCCTCTTGGGAGATGCAGGCCGGTAGAGAGGGTGTGCGGCGTAAGGACTATGCGGTCGAATGAGACTAGAGGGACTTGTTAGTAACATAGTATGTCCAAGTGGTTGAGATACACGTACGAGCATTAGGTTGATTATATCGCATAGATTCTTTCATGAAACTATCCAATTTCCTCAATTTGCCCATGCCGGAAATTTTCCATAATCCATTATCTTCTTCCAAGGCACCTTTGATTTCAGCACGCAAGTCAGGGATGTAGGTGGGTCTCTCGCAGAGATCATATAGTGTATGGACTGCAACCATTGTAGAGGTGTGTAGCTATTTGGTGCCTGGTTAGCTTGTAAAATGAACGATTAAAAACTGGAACGGAAATTAGGAACTAACTGCAGCAGAATTCAAGACTAAAAGCTTCAAAATGATATCCTTTGGATTGACAACTTCCGATGTTGAGATGAGAAATCCTAATAGATCATTGGCTTCATAGCCTGTCTTTTGTCTCTCCTGTATAGCTGGTCCTAAAATTTCAAGTGCCTTTGCAAGAATAGCATCCATGCGACTTTCAGGCGCTAGTATTCCTCGTAAACATGGCCGCAGTACACGAGGATATGGACGAAGTGTATTGGCGATGAAAACCACTTCATTCAAATATGCAGAGATGGTGTCAAGCCAATCTTGATCGCGGGAAAGCGGAAGGCCAACAAAAACTCGTGAGGATACTGCGAGAATCATTGAGTATACAAATGCGTACGTGGATACTGGTGTGTAATCTAGATTTGATAGTAAGACATATGATGATTTTTAACAAGTATGTTCACTAACCTCTCGAATTGCAATGTGATAGAGATTTAGCCATCGCAAATGAAAGTTCTGACGCCATATCTGGTATAAATTGAGCTGTGATGAATTTTAGCCTTGGTTTTTGATTACAGAAGCTTGATCTGTTACACTTACGCAAATTCTGGGTAAGTTGCACTCTGCAAACGTCAGAGTGATGGCGACTCTTTAGAATAATATCTACACCACTAAATCGGCCCAACCATCTCTCTATGAGAGCAGTAGACTGATCGAGCTTTGTTTGTGGTAACATTCTTAGTTCTGCGAGGAGCTTATGAGGGAGGATGAGGCGTTCCATATCCTCCGTTTGAACAATGAAGGCCTCATCTTTATACTATGTGGCGTCTGATCAGCTTGTTTTATCCTGGAACGTTTGAATATACAATAAGACCATACCTTATGATATCCTTCGTCCACGATATGGTGTCCGTTAAGTACAAATTCTCTCTTAGCAGCAGTGCGGGTAAAGTTCCAGAAGCCTGCCTTTTTGCCAACTCTTGGGATGTCAGGAAACCGTAGTTTGCGAGGTGAGGTTAATACAAGTAAGATCGTGAGAGCAAAAATGCCAGAGAGAAAAATCGTAAGAGACATTGTTTGTAATACACCGATTTTCCTTTGAGTTGGCAGGTCGCAGTGGAGAATAGTATCAATGATAGAAAAGGTGAGAAAATTATATTCTTGGATTTCTGATTTAATAATACTGACTAGAGTACGTGGACTTCATATGAATGTTTCAACCCAAAATAATTTTTGACTTTAATATTCACTATCTAATCTTTTAAATCTTTTAAATCTTTTAAATCTTTTAAATCTTTTAAATCTTTTAAATCTTTTAAATCTTTTAAATCTTTTAAATCTTTTAAATCTTTTAAATCTTTTAAATCTTTTAAATCTTTTAAATCTTTTAAATCTTTTAAATCTTTTAAATCTTTTAAATCTTTTAAATCTTTTAAATCTTTTAAATTTAAATTTCAATTTAGGATTTTTTAAATAATTATTTTTAATATCAATAATCTTTTTTTATTTTAATATTTTTTTATCATAAATTTTATTAAAAATCTTAATTAATAATTTTTAAATTCAAAAAACATTTTATATTGAAAATCTATATGAAATACTATAACTGACATTGTTTAAGATATCTATATTATGATTATAGTATATTATCAATTAATCTTATAGCGTTTTCATACGCTATTAATCATTACTTCAGCTCAGCTTACTGCGTATTCACTCGTAGACAAATTCAATCAGTGACATGGGTACCTATTGTACAGGTTGAAGCAGGTTGAAACGAAAATAGATAGCTAGTACCAGACCAAATCGAGGTTTCTTTTGTGTTCCTACGATCCCCCTCAACCTCTGTGACCGCGCAAATCCCTCTGCCTACCAAAAGCTTCATCCTTGGTTGACCACACGAATCAAATCTCTCACATCCCCTTTCCCACCTTTTGCATCCCCAACATAAACCCGCAACACCGCCTCCCAAAAACATACGACCATAGACTGAAGAGAATTGGGCATCCCGTCCGCTCTGCCATACACAAGCTTCAGATCGGTAGATTAGTAGTTGGGTGGGTGACCACCAGCGAATCCCTACTGTTGTATGTTTTTATCTTTTTTGATCCCTTCGTGATGGTAGGAGCAGTTTTGATGAGTTTGTGACAAATTTAAGGAGAGGGATGCGGGCAGGAGAGCTACACGTTTTTTATCTTTTCTACGTGAAAGACATGATCAGTTTATCCTATCCCCTAGGTACATGATCAACATTTTGCTCCTATGAATGTGGACTTCAAACTGGTGCTGCGTTCGAGACGAGTCCAGAGGGGAACACGCAGTTGTTACACAAAGAACGTAGGTAATCGCAGTTATTCAAATCGATTCTGAATCAACGTTGTTGTCGTTAGATGGTGTGTGGATCTGATATAATTAAACTCAATATCTATATACTCTAGTGGAGTTGCGCAGAAGAAGTTACTAGTACCTCAGATACAATAACGGCCGTTCTGACCCGCATGAATCAATGGACAGTCCATCGCACACACTCTTTTCCGTAGAATTCCCACATCCACCAGTTACTTTTAGGTAACTAAACAGCTAGCTCTACCTCTCAAAGAAATGTAGACCATAATATATGGACCATCGCTTCCACGTCCCACATGATGGTGCGGCGACAGAAAGCCACGGTGAGTAATCGGTCTATGTTCAATCTTCTTGCACTTAAATAGATCACACACCATAAAATATTGGTGTGAGCCTGCGTATGGCAAGTGTTTCTTCCCCCTGTATCCCTCTAAACCTGAACAACATAAGAAATGACCTACCGTTTCTTGCCAACAAGCCGAAGAGAAGTTCATGTCATTGAGCTATGCACGAGTAACATCTCCAACGGAAGCTAGGTCGTTTTGGAGCATCAGATGAAGCTTGGCTATTGCTTCTCGAATGGCGAACAGTCGCACCTGAATTTAATCCCTCACACGTCGGACCAAATGATGAGCGTTATCCTATGAGGCCCTTCGCTATTCAACATTCGGGATTATGCAGGGCGATGCTGTGAAAATGAACACTACTTATCGACAGGCCACAAGTTGGTATATAGGTACTTGACAACAGGTTAAGAGCTCGAAAGCAACCTCAGGTCGAAGTAAAGAGGAGTCAAAAGACGCAGAATGTGTGAGCACACAATACCAGTCCAGCGCATTGAAAGCATAGGAGCGAATAGAAAAGTGTAGGCCAATTTGCTATTCGGACGGAATGAGAGCCAAGTGACACGAAGAAACAGTCTCAGAGCCCAATTTAATGTCCGGTGGAATATCGAAAGGCCAAGTGTTTGCCTGAACTGAAAATGTATCGTTTGTCGCAGAAGATAAGGAGATAGGAAAAAAGGAGAAGTAATTATATTGTATAATTGTGTACTTTAATGCGGAAAGTATAGAGTGTTTCCACAAACGCCGTGAAATGCATGTTCGCCGTTCGTTCAAAGTCATTGACCCAACTCCCTTTATAATCGTGAAAACAGTGCGAGCATATCCTGCTACACCGCAATTATATATCAACTATTTTCTAGGTGGCGATTTGCCCCAGAACTGCTCTTTGATTTCGTCCTTGAAGTATTTAACGAATCGACTGTTCTTTTCAGGGTCGTCGATATTGGTTCCTCCCATTTCGGAGGGGTCTTTACCATGACGAGCTTCGTGAACTCTTTTGTGAACGTTGCGGACTGCACTGTGAAAAGTAGGACTTCTTAGGAGCTGGGTACATGTTAACAATAGGGACTCGATATCGATGCATTTGAAATACGAACTCGTGCGACTGCCCACGCCTGAATTAATTGTTAGCAAGAATAACAAAAGTACTATGCGTGGAATGGCATTTTTACCTCAAAGGCTGCTAACCATAATGGCATATTTGTTAGACTCGAATTATCATGATCAATTCTACACCAGGTAGAAATGTTGAGTAAAAATCTATGATGAGAGTTGAAGGCGAAAATCTTTCACCAAGTCGACTCGGCTAATAAGACAGCAGTTGATTAGTCAACAATTAGTCATTGAAATGCCAATTGAAACATGACCTACCTACACGTGCTTACCACGCTTGCCTCGTCTCCAGCTCGGATTGCCTACCACAATTGCTCTTTCCTCATGTACCATTGTACTATGTAGATCAGCCACCTTCCTGCTCAATATGGTGAGTTGCTGCATGTCGGTGAAAACAAATGTTTTGTAAGTTCATGTTTCTCTTCCTTTTCTTCTTCTTCCATTCTCACCCTTTCTTTGCATACACACATCACATCAACTTATCAAAGATTTTGGTATTCCTCTTTCCTACAACTGGCATTATTCTCTTTGCTGAACTATCTTTTTTCTACATCATTGTTCTCTGCATTACTGTTCAAGCCTCCCCCGTTCGTGAGAAGAATCTTTTCAGTTCAGCACTCTACATCAATCTCTTTGCCTAGAGGCATAACAGCCTACCTTTCTCTATCCTGAAGACTTCTTATAACTCATTCAAGCCATATTCACTGTGAAAACATCTTTCATTGTTTATTTATATGCCTCATCGGACGCCCATTGGTGTCACTATTTCCATTCAAAATCGTATCCGTTCCTTCCGTTCTAAATCATCGAGTGCCTCAACAATCATTTCTTCTTCGCGTCAAAAAGATCCAAACGATACCATAAGCCGCAAGTTTATCTTCAGAATGACTCACCCCTGTTCATCAAAACGAGACTCTGCTATCAATCTATCCAAGGAGAGTCTCCTTGATTACCATGATGGTGCTTTTATGCCTCAAGGAGATGGATGCTCTTCTAGCAAGGCAGCAAATGATGAAGACGAACGCGCCGTACAAGTAGTCGAAGCAGGACTCGCTGCAGCAAGCGACCCAAAGACAGCAATGCCATCGTTCTTGAAGATTTCACATGATGGTATGCAACTCACTGAACACTCATTCAGAAAGCAGATACTGACTCGACACTAGAAATGAAGGAAAAATATGCCCTATTGACGAAAGCAGAAGAAGATCGTTTGGCTAGCAAAGATGATCCCAAGTGGGCGAGAGAAGAACCGGATCGTGAACTCGATCGTTATGCCAACGTACACCCATGGGCTGCCAACCGTATCAGACTCATCGTCCCCGAAGGTTATAACGATTACATTAACGCATCCCCTGTTACTTTGACATCTACTGCAGAGAAGCAAAGTACGATGAAGAAAGGTCTTCAAGATAAGTACATCTGTATGCAAGGTCCGAAGTCTCAAACTGTCGATCATACCTGGCATATGATGTGGCATTCAATCTCAGTACCAGATAATGCAGCACCTGGTGTCATCATAATGCTTAGTCCTCTTGTCGGACCTAATCCTGCCAAGCCTGACGAGATGATGGAGAAATGTTATCAATACTATCCTATGAGTGAAGAGGATCCACCTCTTATTGTCAACGGAACGGGAGCTCTAGGAGAAAACTTTAAGGCCCAGGTTCGATTTGTGCAGAGAGAAGATAACATTGAGGGTACTGGTATCGAGGTTCGTAAGCTCGCCATGTCTGTGGAGAATGAAGACGAAGAGAAAATCATCTGGCATTTCTTCTACCCTCTCTGGCCTGACATGGGTTCGTTGAACAGTCAAAATGTTAAGAGTGTTCTGACATTGATGGATCTTTCTCGAGCGAAGAATGTAGAGGAAGAGAATCCAAGAGTTGTACATTGCAGTGCTGGTGTTGGAAGAACCGGTACTTTCGTGGCTTTGGAGTTTTTGATGGGAGAACTTCAAGGTGGAGCTTGGGAAGGGTGGGATCAGTCAGAAGAGAAAGGTAACGATGCCATCTTTGAGACGGTCGATCAATTGCGCCAACAAAGAAAGACTATGGTACAAGCTGTGGAGCAATATATTTTCTTGTATGAAGTGTTGAGAAAACAGTGGGAAGAAAAGTATAGGTTACCATGTATCGGTGGCGAACATACTCACGATTCTCCTCCTGAGGAGGGAAAAAACCCTGTCTTCAGAGCCATCCCAGGGACTAAATAGCTTAACGAGGGAAGTCTATTGGCATTCGGTAGATGGAGAGGGTTTGGAGACGAATTTGT